TCAAATGTCAAGAAAGGCTCCTGAAGGCATGTTCCATCCCAGTAAGTCAGTCAGTGCTGGCGGAGGAAGATGCAGAGACCTGACACGCTGCTGTCAGACCAGGTTCATCACCGAGAGGCAGACACTCCTTTAGCTTTCAAGTTAGCGACACTCAGAGATGGCAAAAGTCCACACATCCTTTACTCTAGAAGTACAGATACTCTTGTTTAAAAATACTCTGGTAAAAGTAGAAGTACTGACTAAACTTCTTTACTCAAGTAAAAGTAAAGAGGCTTTGAAATGTACTTCAGTAAAAAGTACCCATAACTAGCAGCTGTTTTAAAGAGTACCTGACCTCCCTTTATATTAATAGAACAATAATGTAATTGTTAGCTAATGAATGTTTCCATGCTGAACAACGGCAACATGACAACGTTTCCATTGGTCCCTCTTCTTTAGAGAAGACCAGGAAATGATGGATACACGGATCGTGTTCAAATCAATAGGCACGCAATGACTCTAAATAATAATGATCACGCACCAAACACACATTCAGACTAAAGGAACCAGCTGTTTGGAAAATGAGAGAAGTAGAAAGTACAAGTATTTGAGTTCAACATGTGAGAAGTAGAAAGTACAGGTATTTGTGTTCAACATGTAAGAAGTAGAAAGTACAGGTATTTGTGTTCAACATGTGAGAAGTAGAAAGTACAGGTATTTGTGTTCAACATGTAAGAAGTAGAAAGTACAGGTATTTGTGTTCAACATGTGAGAAGTAGAAAGTACAGGTATTTGTGTTCAACATGTAAGAAGTAGAAAGTACAGGTATTTGAGTTCAACATGTAAGAAGTAGAAAGTACAGGTATTTGAGTTCAACATGTGAGAAGTAGAAAGTACAGGTATTTGAGTTCAACATGTAAGAAGTAGAAAGTACAGGTATTTGAGTTCAACATGTAAGAAGTAGAAAATACAGGTATTTGAGTTCAACATGTAAGAAGTAGAAAGTACAGGTATTTGAGTTCAACATGTAAGAAGTAGAAAGTACAGGTATTTGAGTTCAACATGTAAGAAGTAGAAAGTACAGGTATTTGAGTTCAACATGTAAGAAGTAGAAAGTTCAGGTATTTGTGTTCAACATGTAAGAAGTAGAAAGTTCAGGTATTTGTGTTCAACATGTAAGAAGTAGAAAGTACAGGTATTTGAGTTCAACATGTGAGAAGTAGAAAGTACAGGTATTTGTGTTCAACATGTAAGAAGTAGAAAGTACAGGTATTTGTGTTCAACATGTAAGAAGTAGAAAGTACAGGTATTTGGGTTCAACATCTAAGAAGTAAAAGTAAAAAGTTGTCAGAAAAAAAAGTAGTGGAGTAAAGTACTGATACCAGAAAGATGTACTTAAGTACAGTAAGGAAGTATTTGTACTCCACTACTTCCCTCCTCTGGCGACACTAATAATAATAATACATGCAATTTTTAGTGCTTTTCCTAATGCTCAAAGAACTCGCATCAGAACAGAAACATTACAAATAACCCAGGCTTTGTGTGAAGTCCAGAAACTGTGTTCAGTGATCAACCCCACACTGAACTATGACCCCTGTTTCTACCAAAATTACATATGCAGAATCAATGGGAGATATACACAGGAAACTGTCTTAGAAAAACTGAAATTGTTTTCTTATTTTAAGATGAATGAGTCATGATTTTTGTCACATATATTTAAAATGGGGAAATGGAGAATGGACACTGCTCTCTCTTTTGATTTTGTTTTTTATTACACTTTGGAGGAAGATTTAGCTACAGTCAAAAGATGAAGGAGGAGGAAGGTCCCGCGCTTCAAGACTTTGAGAAGATTGAAGTAAAGGATGGCAAGAAGCAGAAGCCCCTGGATGGGGTAAAGAGGCTTACATGAAGAAGGTCAAGGGTCCTGCATCAGGAATAGTGGCTGGTGTCCAACTGTGGGGTTTATAATCTGTTGGATTTAAAGTACAGCTTCAAGTTCACTCTTGACTCAACTCAAGATGGAGCAGTCGTTTTTTACATTGTTATTTTACATTTCAGAGGGAATCTGAGAGCTATAGATTCTAGTTAAACTGTACATTTAAACGTTTTCTACTGTATACAAAATTCAGAGTCTACCTATGATTGACAGATTGCCTCCACATGGCTCTCACGTTGCGATGGTTGACCCAGAGGCTAGCAGTTAACAGTGTTTACGGTGAAAACAATGCAAACTACGTCAACAGTGACGAAGGAGCTCACAGTGTTAACCTGAAGGAGAATCAGAGGGTGGCTGTGACATATCTGAGACGTCAGACAGCTAACAGCTAGCGACCTGAGACGGCAAACACCTGTCATTGAAAGCAGCCACGCCCCTAATAATGTGTTAAATTACAAAAAAGAAACAGCCCCATGATTAGGGAAATTAGCGAAAGAAACTATTTTTTGCATCAGGCTGGTATTTGTTTCTGCTCCATTTCAAAGTCTGTCTCAATTGGCCAATCAAGGAACTGCAGTTTGTGGCACTTCACATACAGAGGCTTCCTTTCACAGCCCAAGAGGTCGCCACTTGGTAAAAAGAGAAGCTGTGTTTGCAACAGAGAGAGAATGTCTTACACTGGATAATGAGCCAGTGGCTTTCAATTGATTTAGCTTGTAACCTTTACAGAGAAGCATTGTGGAGCTCCAACTCAAATGGAGTGTTCCCCCAGAGACACACTTACCTACACACTTTAAACATGGTCTCATTTCAATAACTGTTCCAGGCCCAACAAGGTCCAATTACCCAGTGGCTGTCCAAATGTTGTTTATTCTTTTAAACCTCACTAATCATCTCATGGGAGCCTTTGATTTGGATCAGTAAATTAAACTAGTGAAACTGAATTAAGTATTTAAACCTGCTCCACCTTTAACAGCAACAAACCAACTCTAACATGCTGCTTACACTATGATGCAACAGTAGTAAAAACTCCTTGACATGTTAAGTACATTTAGCTAAGAGTACTTTTTTGATGGAGTATTTTGTATTTCTCTTACATTAGCACTTTGTCTTTTGATTAGTAAAAGCATGTGAATGATTTTGCCAGAACACATTTTGCTGCCATCTGCTGGTTAAAATGAGTATGACAGCTGTTGAGTAGTGAGTACTGGTATTACAAAGTGGTTACAGATCTTAACATAGACCTATATTCATTGATAAATAAGGCTATAACTACCACTTGGTACATCTGATTGATCATGCACTGTACTTGGATATAATTCTGCTTGTATTGTGTGAGCATAATGAAGTATCACATATTGTAACTAAGCAAACAAGCAAATATAAAAGTCAACATTTGAAAGATGTTGCCAAGTACGAGTGCAGGACAGGAGAATAACACAATTCCCATACCTCTAAAGACAAAGGGGAAATAATAACAGACATAACCATACTTGATATAAGAAGTTAGGGTTGTCACAGATACATTCAAATAAATCACAAATGCATTGCTGCTTGAATCAGGGGCAAAGACTTGGCACTAAGGCACCACATTCATTAAAAGTATATCCTTTTACCTGAGTCAGGTGTGCCTACATTTAAAAGAAAAGTGAGTCTTGCAACTTTCACTAGTGGACCAGTATTTATTCAAGCTTTTTTAGAAGTGATTTGTATTCAGTATGCAAGGTTGAATACAATAAATGGCTCTATTCCATGTGACCAAACAGTGTGGACAATCACAATTTCACATTCACGTATCTTCAACACAAAGACAGAAATTAAAAAATGTCCAAAAGGAGGCATTGTGGTCTTAGTGTCTCAGTCAGTCGGACTGTTCGATTTGCTCCACTACAACAACGTCTGACATGTCAACAATAACAAAATCAGTTTCTGTTGACAAACATTATCAGAAACATTCAAAGAAAGACCCAAAAACAATAGCCTGTATAATTCCTCTTTGCACATGAAAGCTGTGTGCATGGCTTCAGTGCTGCTCTTACTGTACATCTTAAAGGTCCCCTATTATACTCTTTTTCAACAATATATTATAGGTCTCAGATATATACAGAACCTGTCTCTGATTGGCTGAAACACCAAACAGATCATTGCAGCATTACCCATAATCCCCTCTGTTTCAGCCCTGTTTCCAAAGTGCTGATTCTCTGTTACTTTAGATGAAAATAAGGAGCCCCTCCCCACGACCCTCTGAGAGACATTTGGTTACAAAGAACTCAAAGGTGCTCTAGGAGGAGATTCAGATGATCAGGTGGGGGGTGGGGGGGGGGGGTTACCTTGGTTGCTGATTGGCTAATGGTTACACAAGACAAAACATCGTTATGACATCATAAAGTGGCCAAAATCTGATCAGCTCGTTTTCAGACGGGTTTTTATATAAATGGATCAAAAAGAGAGAGAATCTTTGCTCCTGAAACTTTCAGAGTCTCTTTCCACAGAGGAGACACATGTTGATGTAGAAGAGACATGAAGAAGAGGGGACACATGTTGATGTAGAAGAGACATGAAGAAGAGGGGACACATGTTGATGTAGAAGAGACATGAAGAAGAGGGGACACATGTTGATGTAGAAGAGACATGAAGAAGAGGGGACACATGTTGATGTAGAAGAGACATGAAGAAGAGGGGACACATGTTGATGTAGAAGAGACATGAGGAAGAGGGGACACATGTTGATGTAGAAGAGACATGAAGAAGAGGGGACACATGTTGATGTAGAAGAGACATGAAGAAGAGGGGACACATGTTGATGTAGAAGAGACATGAGGAAGAGGGGACACATGTTGATGTAGAAGAGACATGAAGAAGAGGGGACACATGTTGATGTAGAAGAGACAGGAAGAAGAGGGGACACATGTTGATGTAGAAGAGACATGAGGAAGAGGGGACACATGTTGATGTAGAAGAGACATGAAGAAGAGAGGACACATGATGATGTAGAAGAGACATGAAGAAGAGGGGACACATGAGGTAGAAAAGACATGAAGAAGAGGGGACACATGTTGATGTAGAAGAGACATGAAGAAGTGGATTTTGCACAATAGGTGAGCTTTAATGTCAGATGTGGGACTGCACGTCTCACTCTGTAAGTGTTTATTTTCTAGTCATGTTCATAAAGCAGTGGTATAATATAATACAATTAGCTGTGTTCACTCTGAGGTTTGTGGAAAAAGGAAGCTTATTGTGGTTGATAGTTGAAATCCCAGCTCATCTATTGTCAAGACTGTTTAATTAAAATGTCTGTAGCAGCATAAATTAAGAATAAAAAACACAAGAAAGAAATTAAATAAATAAATTGTAGAATCAGAAACATTTGATATGGCAAATTAATCTCTCTCAATGTCGAGACAATATACGATCATTACGGTTTCATAAAAAGTGACATACAGTGTGTGCTGTGATTGGTCGATGTAATGTGGACGTTTTATAATTAAAATCAGTGGACCAAAATCACTAAGACAGTCTGGGCTAAATAACAGGTGTGAACCATTCATGTTTGTAATTTACAAGCCACATTTATGACATTGTGTAACTCAAACTGCCACACATTTATCTTTAAGCGCCAATGTAATTAAGGCACTAAATGTGTTTAAAGGAACTTTTAATGGACGTACCCTTTCAATCCATCTACAACAGGGGTGTCAAACTCAAGGCCCGGGGGCCAAATCCGGCCCGCCACTTCTGTGGCCCCACAACAGCTCTGAAATAATATAATATGTTTATTATACGGTTACATGGCGATTTACAGAAGCACGTTGCCCATAAACTACAGGTCCCACAATGCATCTGAAATTTGACTTTTTTTCTTCAAAATGTCCTCCAGAATTTGGCTTTTCTTTTTAAATCATTGTGACATTCGCACTGAAGAGACTTGCAATTACTTGCCCTAGACTTCTGCTTTCAGACGTAGTTAATTCTGAAATTATTACCCTATCCGATAATAATCCAATGCAAAGGCAATCATGTAATATAATGGGGAGGCTGTGGCTCAGTGAGGTAGTGCACTGAACTTTGAATCAGGGGGATAGCAAGTTTGAGTCCCACTGCAGTCAGCATGTCGTTGTGTCCCTGAGACACTTCACCCCAAATTGCTCCTGTGGGGATCGTCCACAGTACTGAGTATGTAAGTCGTTTTGGATAAAAGCATCTAACAAGTGACAATAATGCATTATTTTATATAGATTAAATATTTATATATGTATTTTGATAAAGTCTTAAAGTTACAACCGGCTCTTTGAGTGCAACCATAATTCCTACGTGGCCAGTGATGAAATTGAGTTTGACACCCCTGATCTAGAAAGACCACTAAAACGGCTTGATATCATTTATATGTGCAATGCCTTGTCTTTTATAATGCTGCAATGCAAACATTTCTCAAATTGGGATCAATAGAGTCAATCTTATCTTACAGTAACTTCATCTGTTCTTATCATTAATGAATCCATTCATTTGGCCCAAAACTGAGTAAACCAATGAAACCCTTAATCATAATTGTGCAATAATTTAGACTCCTTATGTCAAAGTTAAGACATTAAACTTATTTTCTTTATACATTTGTCGAACAGTGCTTCCAGTTAATATGGAAACAAAGGGGAAAGCTAGTGGAGTCATGTATTAAGGGCTTTTAATTAAGGTGTTTTTTGGTGGTGTTTCCATTAAATTAAGGGTTTACCAACACAATACTTCAGCTGAAGATGTGGGGGGTAGAAAAAGTAGTTTCATAGTTCATTATATGCACTATTAAATATGCACTATCCAAAATCTCTATGGACGTTTCTGCTCAGGTGATGCTCTTATAGACGCTTTCGTTCAGACTTCAGTAAACCGTTAGTTCTCATGTTCCCATCGTAACGTTCTGCATGTAGAGTTCCCTCCATGTTCTCCAGCTGCTTCTCTACATATTGTTCTATAGCTTGCGTTCCCCTGCCAGGATGCTGTGGTAGATGCAGTCTGTGAGAGGAATGTAACTCTGCTGCTGGTGGTCCAACACGAACAGCAGGTCTGAGATGGAGGAGGGGTTGAAGCCGCTCTGAACCAGCTGGAACTTCTGCTGCTTGAAGGTGCTCGTCATCTCCATTTCCTCCTGAGGAACAAATTCAAGGTTTCTATTGTCATATGCACATTAGCTACAGTGTAGTTGTGACAATGAAAATCTTAGGTCACAGGCTCCTCTAACAGTGCAACACAATAAAACAGGTAAAATAGTGCAAGTAAATAAAATAAAATAGAATATAATAGAAGCAGGAGCGTGAGTCACTGGGCAGGTTTCACACTGACTTCTGTCATCTAAAGACATTCCTGTTTGGGCAGGTGTTTGGGTAACTTTTCACAATGTATTGTGTTTTTAGCCCTTCTTAACACGTGGCTTGTGTGGTCATTTCATATTTTATGATTCGTACGATGTTTTAATTCTCTTGTGACTATGTCTGGGAAAAGCGCTTCATAAATAAATTGTACTTTCTTTTGACTTACTTATGTATTTCTTTATTTATTAAAATACGTATCTGTCTTATTCTAGTATTACTAATGTGTGCCTTTCTTCTCTATATTTAATACGTTAGCTTATTCTTTATTATTGCATGCCTTTATCTTTTACTGCTATGCCACTTTTTGCTGTACATTTCCTCGACTAATAAAGGAGTTCTGATTCTGATAATAGAGACAGTGCACATACACAAGGTTTCATGGTCACCCTAAAAAAATGGTAATAAATAAGGTATCAATTATTATGGATCTCATACATATAAAATGTTTGAAAAGGATCCATACAAATGTTCCACCCTGAGTTCTGTATTCATTTATTTGTTTATTTAACCCTCCTATTGTCTTCGTCCCCCCCCCCCCTTACTTTGGTGTTCGCGGTCAAATTCGACCGGTCCTGTTTTAACACAAAAACCATTAATCATCACCACATTTCATTTAACACCCTTTCAAACTGTACATATTGTATCAGACTACTGGTATACATGAAAAACTGCAGTGAATATACAAAGAATAGACACTGAACATGTATTGCGTGTGCCAGGTGTGATCCATGTGGGGGGATTGGGCACATAAGGGGGGGAACACATCTAGAGTATGTGTTTGTGTGTGTGTTTGATCTGATCCGGATGGTTACTAATTCCTTTTCTTTATGGCAATCATTTTTGACCAGGAACACCATGGTTGTTACAAAGTTGACTAAATCATCCAGAATTCAATGAAAGTGGTGATCAGCCATTGTATATGTTCAAATGTCTACTGTGAAGGATATCATAAAGCCTGAATGCAATCGAATCTAAAACAAAAAAGTTATGATTGATGAAAGTAGTAAATTGTCAGATTTGACCCGAAGACAACAGGAGGGACAGTGCACGTTAAGACATTTTGTAATAGTTATATTAAACATATATATATTATTTGTATCTTAAATGTGCGGTCTCATCTTGCATTGCAGTCCTTTGAAATGGTCCCGTTTCATTCACAAGGGTGTACCATGGATGTATAATAAGAAGGTGAACCTAGGGTAAGGCACTACACTAATTGGACACTAGGTGGAGTAATACCCACACTGACGGAGCATATGACTTCCAGCAGAGTGAATTTGTAAACTCATTTTAAACTTACAGGATAAAACTCAGCACACATTTACTCTCATCAATTACAAATACCCACAATTTGTAATTGAATTAGTTCCATTTGAAGCTACTTTTGTACTTTTCCTGCACTGCAATTCAGAGGGAAATATGATCATTTCTGATTTAACCTCAGCCGGGACAAAGACTAGTTGAATGTCTACGCAAAGAAAACAAAGCTTCAGTATTTTGTAAAATATCAAGTGTCCGGATAAAAAAAGGACAAATTAAGAAAGTGGAACTTGTTATTTTTTACATGTGCCTTTCTGAGTGTTTTTATACTTTATTTATCCCCTGACTCTGTTTTTTTTAACACAAACTTAGGTCCAAAAACACCACATGCACAAAAAGGAGTAGACAGCGTTGGAAAGTAAACTGTAGGATGACTGTAATATATTTCCATTTTCTGCTACTTAACATCTACTCCACTACATTTTGAAGAAGAAAATTATACTTGTTACTCCACAAAATGTATTAAACACTCATATTTCACTAATTGCTTTACATATAAAAACTATGATATGATCCTGTACAGTTCTCCTCATAAACTCAGTATTTAAAGTATCAAAAAGTGTCTCAACATTGACAAACAACAAGATTGAAATGCTATTAAATTGTATTTGTAAGCAATAAAAGCAGAATAATATCATATTAAATTATAATAAAATACTTCAAAAAGAGCCATTGTGCCTAATGAGTACTTTTACTTTTGATACTTTAGGTACATTTAGCTTATACAGATTATGTACTTCTACTTAAATCCACTTTAATACAAGACTGTTATTTGCAATGGAGTATTTCCAGACCAAATGATTTCTACTTTTATTAAAGTTAAGGGTCTTCTTCAAGTACTTAGGATCTCAGTATTTCCTCATGTAGGATGTTACTGTACATTCCCCCACCTGAGATCAGTGTCATATAAACAGTCCTCCTCATGAAGAACGTTAATCAGTCTTACCTGAAGTCTGATGAACAGCGGGCGAGCGTACGCCGGCAGATCTCTCATCACATGCTCGAACAGTTTGCTCCCATCGAAGGAGAAGCCCGGTCGGATGATCATGGCCGCCATGCCCGCTCTGCCCTCGTGCCCTGAGGAGAAACACGAGTTAGACTTCATCAGGAAGGAGACACTTAGCTGGTAATAATAACGTTTGTATATGTGGCACAGGATTAGGGGATGATTATTCTGTAATCGTCTGTTTTCCAGCTCATTGAGTCCTATTTTGAACCCTGAAATGTTGAGTACCCCAGTGTTATGATGGAAATGCAGAGTGCTGAACTGCTGGATGCTAACCTGCATATGTTGGGCAATTTGCACAATTAGAATAAGTTGCCTTAATTAGCATATGAAGACAATAGCTGAGAAATGGCTTGGCTGATTTGGACAGTTTTGGATTGGTTTTGAGGGTTATTTAAGATGTTGAATCCATTTCTGAGATTTTCAGGCTCAAAAATCCTGTAAAACTTTAAAATCTACCAATATTTGTATCAAACTTAGCCCATCGGGAGAACAGATATGGCAACTTTCTGGTTTAAACTGCCATTTTATATGTCTATATATCCTGATTTTGATGAATTATGGGTAGATTTTAAAGTTTAAGGGGACTCAAAACTGCGATTATTTTTATCCTGAAATGTCAGAAATGGATTCAACATCCTAAATAACCCCCTTGTGCACATTTCCCAACATACGCAGGTTAGCATCCGTCAGTTTATATGTGCTGGGGACCCACACTGTACATTTCTAACATAAAACTTTGCTTAACATTTCTGGGTTCACACTGGTGGCAAGTAGACTGTATGCTTTCAGAGGTTTGTAAATCAGTTTCTATAAATCTATATCAGCAGTATTTGGATAGCAGACATGCAAACACAACCGCATGTCAGACATACCTTTAATTTCCACTCCATAAACGTTGACTTCTTGGATGAACTCCACCAGCCCCAGAGTCTCCGTCACTTCTGTCGTTGCTACATTTTCCCCTTTCCACCTGAAACACAAGATGAGGATTAACAGAGCACGGACTATATTCTGCAGATATTTTTGCTCATATTTCTCATATTTTGACTGTACTTCTGTCTAATTTTATAATAGTTATTAGAATACTTGTTCAAAATAGTTGGTTAACAAAGAAAAAGTATTATTATTGTTATTAGTTATACATTTTTAGATGCTTTAAAAAGCATGGTTCTGCTGGACAGAGAGGCTACTGTATTTACACCCTCCACATTAAAGAAGGAGCCTCATTCAGCTGAGAGTGAGACTACAGACAGTTATCTCTGTCTAGCATCATCAGGACTACAGCTCTTTATGTAATCTCTTTGTTAGACCCTCTCTGTCTGATAAAGGCTTTTCCCCCAACCCCCAAGTTTTCCCTAGGTATTAAGGATACGACATATCAAACATGTTCAACTGTACCTGAAGGTGTCTCCCACTCTGTCTCTGAAGCTGATGAAGCCCTCCTGATCTTCAGCCATCAGGTCTCCAGTGTTAAAGTACGCGTCTCCCTTCGCGAATACGTTCCTCATCAGCTTCCTCTCCGTCAGCTGCTTGCTCCCGGCGTATCCAAAGAAAGGGCTCAAAGCACTCACCTTGGACAGTAAGAGCCCCGTCTCACCTGAGAGGAAAACAGGACAGAAAGTCTAAAAACTAAATCGTTTTTATATAAAGATATTTTGTTTTTAGGCAGTTGCACTCTTACCCTTTTTCACTGTCCGACAGAAACCATGCTGATCTTTTACTGGTTCATCTTTCACCATGTCATACTTTATTAGATCATACTTGAACAGGAGCTAAACAAAGAAATAAGAGAACATTAGATTAACAAATCAGTTTTCATCAACCAGCCAAACATATAAAATGCAACACTCCTTTAAACAATATCCAAGGCATGACAAATATGGCATATTGTACATCTTCAGGGCGTACTTCCCAGTTATGTGTTCTGCTTAATATGCACTGCAGCTCTTCGCACTTGCACCGCCCACAAGTTCCTAAACTGCACAGACTATACCTTGTTCTGATGTCACAGATTCAAAAATGTTTTATGTCTTCACCCGGCCTACTACTATGTTTGGAGACAAAATTCAAGCTAACCCTGATTTCCCTTCTGCCATCTAGTGGCCAATTTGTTTTGTGTGCCCTAAAGTTGGTTCCCTTGTAAGAGAACCACAACTATGACCATAATGTGACATTTCCAAAAGACACATGGTCAATATCTCTTGCCTGGAGCAATAACACTTGAAAAATGGAAATACAATTAGGCTATGTATAGGAACATAATATAGGAACATAATAAGTAAGAACGTCATAGGTGGAGATGGTTAACGTTACTTACATTTACAATAGGTTAATGAAAGTTATACGTTATTTGAGTATCAATATAGTCAGGGCTGCAAACACTCACGCAATTAACCCATATCTCACGCACTCAGGCCACACTTGCCTTTCCTCACACTAAGTTTTCGTAAAAATAAATATAAATATAAAAATAAAGTGAAGGAACAGCAAACCGAGCGGTCTACGAAATGAGACGGTCTTCTGGCTTAGTTCAGTAAAGTTGGAACGATATTGGGAGATTCTGATTTCCCGGCTAAAAATCAGCCCGGGAAACTCGACCGGCCGACCGGCCCAACTCGGTACCGCTAGTCAATAGTGAATTAATGGGAAACCCTAGTTTGTACATGTTCAATACATTTTTAACACTGTACACATGAACGTTTCTTTTTTCGGTTCACCAAAAAAATGTTTTCACTCCAAGCTGAACTCAAATGTTGGCAGCCAAGACATAGTCAAGCAACTGATTTGCATGAAATAACATGTTAGCTAACTCAGTTTTCATTAAAAAGCTTGTTAGCTAACTCACTTTTCATGAAATAGCTTGTTAGCTAACACACTCTTAATGAAATAGCCCGTTAGCTAACTCACTTTAAATGAAATAGCTTGTTAGCTAACTCACTCTAAATGAAATAGCGTGTTAGCTAACACACTCTAAATGAAATAGCGTGTTAGCTAACTCACTTTTCATGAAATAGCCCGTTAGCTAACTCACTTTAAATGAAATAGCTTGTTAGCTAACACACTCTTAATGAAATAGCCCGTTAGCTAACTCACTTTAAATGAAATAGCTTGTTAGCTAACTCACTCTAAATGAAATAGCGTGTTAGCTAACTCACTCTAAATGAAATAGCGTGTTAGCTAACACACTCTAAATGAAATAGCTTGTTAGCTAACACACTCTTAATGAAATAGCCCGTTAGCTAACTCACTCTAAATGAAATAGCTTGTTAGCTAACTCACTCTAAATGAAATAGCGTGTTAGCTAACTCACTTTTCATGAAATAGCTTGTTGGCTAACACACTTTTCATGAAATAGCTTGTTAGCTAACACACTCTTAATGAAATAGCTTGTTAGCTAACTCACTTTAAATGAAATAGCTTGTTAGCTAACTCACTTTTCATTAAATAGCTTGTTAGCTAACACACTCTTAATGAAATAGCCCGTTAGCTAACTCACTCTAAATGAAATAGCTTGTTAGCTAACTCACTTTAAATGAAATAGCTTGTTAGCTAACTCACTTTTCATGAAATAGACTAACTCACTTCACCTCTGTTTTCACAACAGTTAACTTTAAGAACTATAAATCGGTATCATTGTGTTCTTCTCTTAGGGCTCCCCTGATTATTCAGGGTTGCCAACTTTGGGTACCTGGCTGGAGTGAGATTTTGATATCATGGGTTTAATTACACATATGCGCACAAAATGACTGCTATTGTGTCAGCAGCGGGACCTTAGCATATAGGATATATATACAATATATACAAATACACAATATTGGACACAGACTAAAAAGGGCACAAAGTTTCATTCACTAATGAAAGTCAAACACATGTTTGTTTCCACTGTTTTATTGTGTGCCTGTCGCGATAAGCAATTAATTGACTTATCATACGATAATTAAAAATGAACTCGATACATTGCCATTTACATGAGGATGTGACTAGCAGTTTGAAAGGATGTACTTGAATTATTATTATATATTATCATTATGTCAGTGGTCTGAAATGGTCATACAACGGTGCCGACAATATTATCGTTTATCGCAATAATTTCCGGGAAAATTAATCCAACAAAATTAATTATCGTGAGAGGCCTATGCATGAAACACACACACACAAACAAATCTACAGACTTACTCCAAACTGCCAAATATATTGATTAACACACTCTCACTCTCATATAGTCTTTGACTCTATTTTGGCCTAGTAGAACAATAAGCAGCAGACTTTTACTTTTTTTATCATTTCTACTGGATCTTGGATCTTAGATCTGCGCATGCGCAAAACGGGTCGGGGATTGACCAACCGGCTCCCACTGCTCTGCTGTCTGTTAACGTTGTTAAGAGTGGTGGGGGCGGGGAGGGAGCGGATCGACAGCTTGAGCAGCTGTCAACTCAACATTGTAAATAACCAACCAAAAACGATCGCCGGTTCATCTTGTTTGTGGCGTGAGAATAGTTTGGGCAGCGTGAGAGCGTGAGATTGAGAGTGAAAGCGTGTGTCACACGCCAGATGCGTGAGAGTTGGCAACCCTGGATTATTGTTATACATTATTATACACATTATAAACAAATAGAGAGTATTACTTTCCTCTGCTTCAACATGAACACTGACAGCTTAATCGAAGAATAACTTTTGTCCTACATGTTATAGAACTGACACTAGAATATGTTCTATAACTGTATTGTATAAGGATTTACTGCGGCAGGAATAGCAGGGAAAGATCCAAATATAGTTTAAATCAGAGATTAGAGGTAAATAGGTGAACCCACTGTTTTGTAAATCTTCTAATTATCAGCTCCACAGACAAGCATTAGTGAGGCTAATACCCTCCATAACCAGGAGAAAGTCCATTTAGGGCTACACAGACTAACAGCTTAATCAATAAAACTTAACATTCAGGTCGGCATTCTTTACACAACCTCTTTCCAAGTCTCAGTTTGAACTTTGACTTCAATAAACCAATCAGTTCATCCTTGAGTCCAAGGGAAATAGGCCAATTTATAGTCTTGAATCTCAGGTTCATGAGAATAGGACGGACGGACAACCCTTGATGTCTAGAAAAATAATTAAATAACGTGATATGTGTGTATTTGCTGAGGGACTGCAGCTGGAAAATAGCTAAATCTGTCATAAATCATCTCTTCTTATATATTTCATGTTCTTTGTTTAAAGTTCCCCTATTATACTGTTTATCATCAATATATTATAGATCTCAGATATATACAAAACATGTCTCTGAAACACCAAACAGATCATTGCAGCATTACCCATAATCCCCTCTGTTTCAGCCCTGCTTCCAAAGTGCTGATTATCTGTCTGTTACTTTAGATGAAAATAAGGAGCCCCTCCCCACGCCCCTCTGAGAGATATTTGGTTAAAAAGAACTCAATGGTGCTCTAGGAGGAGATTCAGACCCCATTTACACGCAAACGAAACTCAAACGAACCGAATACGATATCAAAAAAGTATTCCGTTCACACAAGACCGCTCGAAAGCGCTGTAGTACATATGCCGGGCCTGTAAGTGGCGCTGTACTTCCACCACAAAATACACCAAAAGCAGCGAAGAAGACACCCGAGCATGGTTACCATGGTTGCCCTTCTGTTTATGTCCCGCTTGTGGATTTAGCAACATGTAGTTCATGTAGTTCTCCATGTCCACTTGTTGCTGATGGTTGTGGTAGAGGAGCTTTAGATTTTGCACTAACATCTGTAGCATGGTCAGTAGCTACTATCAGTAGCTACTGACCATGCTACAGCAGTGAGCATTAGAGGCGGGGCTATGGCTTCATCGTTATCAGGAAATGATCGTATAGGACGTACACACAGAGCCGTTTGGCCCCCCAGAGCGTTCCGTTTGCAGATCTATCCACCTTGGGACCCGTTATCGTTTGCGGGGTCCGTTTCCGCATTTCCGTTACGGCCTCGTGTGAACGGGCTTTACGAAAGAGAAAAGTAGCGGATACAACCGTTTGCGTTCTTGTGTAACAGCACCTCAGGTGATAAGGCTTACCTTGGTTGGTGATTGGCTAATGGTTACACAAGCCAAAACATCGTTATGACATCATTAAGTGGCCAAAATCTGATCAGCTCATTTTCAGACTGGTTTTTATATAAATGGATCAAAAAGAGAGAGAATCTTTGTTCCTGAAACTTTCAGAGTCTCTTTACACAGAGGGGACACATGTTGATGTAGAAGAGACATGAAGAAGAGGGGACACATGTTGATGTAGAAGAGACATGAAGAAGAGGGGACACATGTTGATGTAGAAGAGACATGAAGAAGAGGGGACACATGTTGATGTAGAAGAGACATGAAGAAGAGGGGACACATGTTGATGTAGAAGAGACATGGAGAAGAGGGGACACATGTTGATGTAGAAGAGACATGAAGAAGAGGGGACACATGTTGATGTAGAAGAGACATGAAGAAGAGGGGACACATGTTGATGTAGAAGAGACATGAAGAAGAGGGGACACATGTTGATGTAGAAGAGACATGACGAAGAGGGGACACATGTTGATGTAGAAGAGACATGGAGAAGAGGGGACACATGTTGATGTAGAAGAGACATGAAGAAGAGGGGACACATGTTGATGTAGAAGAGACATGAAGAAGAGGGGACACATGTTGATGTAGAAGAGACATGAGGAAGAGGGGACACATGTTGATGTAGAAGAGACATGGAGAAGAGGGGGACACATGTTGATGTAGAAGAGACATGAAGAAGAGGGGACACATGTTGATGTAGAAGAGACATGAAGAAGAGGGGACACATGTTGATGTAGAAGAGACATGAACAAGTGGATTTTGCATAATAGGTGACCTTTAATAAAGTCGCAATAAGTACTAAGAAAATGCATCTCATAATATTGTTTTTGACAATCTTAAATAAACGGAAGCTCTTATGCATCATAAAGACATGTATTGGTATCCATGATACAGTAACTACACCCAGTCATCTATTGACCCCTGATGGAGGATTCCTGCTTCATCCTGGATAACACACGGCCACAGATGTCCTCTCAGACATGTACCCCTCCCCCCACTACTTACGACAGTTCACTCAGCTAACCATGTGCTCACATTTAGCAGTGAAGATGTGCCTGATAAGCCACAATGCTGAGAGAGTGAACGTATAGTACATGTATGCACCTTTTAAACAAAACCACACACCCAGGTTGCTATTTGAAAATAGATGTACATATTGCATTCACAACCCCACCTGTTGGCAACTAGCAACATGTTGTTTTAGTGGTACTGAGTACAATTATTCTACAATTTAGGTTCAGTTGATGGATTTAATATATTTAAAATGGTGTTTAAAACATGCAAGTAATTACCTCACCTAAAAACCTTTATTGAATACATACAAAAACGACTGTATGCTATTTAGAGAAGTTGAGTTGCTGAATGAATGAGCTGCTTACTACACAGTTTCCTGTCTTTCAGCTCAGGTATTTCATTCACAGAAAACTTGTTCTGGGGCTTTCAACAACAGCGACCATCCAACCAGCTGTTCTCTGCACTGTCAGTCTTTTCACCCTGCTAGTTTTATGCTAAGCTATGCTAACCACGTCCTGTTCGCAACTTCGTACACAGATCGAGATTAAGATTAAGTATATCCCGCTAATATTGGATGTCTCCCTCCTTTCTCTCCCCCTGACTTTCGACATGCAGTCAAAGCTCAAACCAGTTCACACACCTAACAACCACCCACATGTAAACATCCATGGGTTTTTGTTTTTATTATTATTTATTTGTATTCATTTACAGAAATATATGTTCTTGTGTATTAAGAATGAATGACTATTACACACCCAGAATTTGGGAATTTGTATTGCTCAGTCTGTTCTGGTCGCCATTGGTATTTTTTACTATAACTTGTAAATACCCATTGTATTCATTACAGTGTATTTGTCTGCACATGTCCTATAATTGCTATATCACTTAAAAAATAATACATAAATTACCAAACTAACGATCCCATTAGGGTTAAGAGATAAGATAGCCAACTCTACCGTACCCTCATGCCTTGCACTTGCATGGGTAACAGGAACAACTGCATTCATTGTCACCCAGGTGTGTGAACTGGTGGATCAACAACATCACTTTTGAAAAAAACTGCCCCATCAGAGAAACGTCAACAAAGAGGCGATAGTTGTTAGAGGAAGTCCATGAGTCTCTGTTCACAATGATAATAAATGGCATCCAGCAATCTGTCAAAGAACACACCCAGGTTTGCATATGTCAACCATATTTATGGACTATGTAGGTCAGTCAGCTAAATTGTAACTTGTACCATCTCCACTAGCCAATGGGGAAACAGTAACATTTGAACAACCAATGGTGTTACTTTACGACTCCCTCTGTAAATCAGACCTTTACATTAGGAGGGTTGACTCTGAATGCAGACCAGTTAAAACGTTCTGATTTAGAAGACGGGGTTAAAAACTGCTGAATGAGAAGTTACATGGGAACCCTAAAATGTGATTGTTTATATTTTGCGTTCCGGTGTTTGTTTATAAGAGTATTATTTCATATTTCGATCAATTATGGGTTTGATTAGTAGGGTCACATGGGTAGAGCGGCCCCCATAATATCTGAATCAAGTTTATTACCCGGTAGGTTTACACAAACAACGACTTGGCTTCACCTTTACACACATAAAAGAACTGAAGTATTGATATTGACCGAATCTAAATTGACACATGCTTCATCATAAAGTGTCTTTATTGGTGGACGTAGAGCGTAGTGCACCAAGGTGAATAAACTCACCCTGTAGAAGAAGTTGGAGCGTCCCACCGTCCCGATCTTCCCGATGTGGTTCATGAAGCACAGGTTTCCCTCCGTGGATCCGTACACCTCGCACATCTTCACGTTCCCAAAGCGACTCTGGAACTCCCTCCAGACGTCCGGCCGCAGCCCGTTCCCCACGCCCATCCGCACCTTGTGGATCATATCCTCCTCTGTCTGAGAGAGGGAGGGATGACGACAGGTAAATAGATCTGACAGGTGATCATCTCTCCATGACAAAATGTACAAGAATGGAGTTCATGTAAAAGATGGTGTGTGTGTGTGAGTGAGTGAGTGAGTGAGTGAGTGAGTGAGTGAGTGAGTGTGTGTGTGTGTGTGTGTGTGTGTGTGTGTGTCATGATAGAATATGCTTCCAGTTGATCTTGAAACTGCTCAGATTGTCCCACTTTCTCCCATAGTGCCAAGAAATGGATTTCGGGCTAACTGTCTTGCCAACATTAATTTGAGATGTTAGTTTATATGACTGTGTAACCTTATATTGACAAATCTACTAGTATTTATGTTTTATGCATCGTTATTTTAATTTGCAATGAAATGACTACCAACCGAAATACAATCAGTCCTGCATGTAGGGTTCCTTAGGGCCTGATTTACCTCAGTTGGTAATCAAACCCCAAATATTTCCATCACCGGGGGCAGAAAACAGACCTTAGGCAACGACTCAGAAATACAACGAAGGATAATTCTGCAGGGGTGAGAAGGTGAAGTCTGTTTATAGCACCGACGGATTCATTGTGGTCCCAACGTAATCCTCTACTAAATAATCCTCCTCTCTGATAAGCATGAGGCTCTACTTTATCTTATTATACATAAAGGTAGCGACGCTTTTTCTTCCATGCAATTAAAACAACTCGTTCGTTAATTTATGTAGAAAGAGAACAATGTCTTCGAACAACAGCGCTCTGATTTGAGTGGAAATCCTCCCTCAGGTGTGGTGTGTGTTATCTTTCTGGCCGTGTGGAAATAAAGGAAACTTTGACGTGTGTGTGTGCTTGGCTGAGTATTATGGTGTCTGCCATGTTCGCATATTGGTTCATAATGACAGCATACAAGCAGTAATTGGTGCTCACGCTTATGTGCACTTTGTGAAAAGCTGCTTATGTGTCGTACGTGTCCAAATCTCTAATTTGCCAATCAGTGGTGAGGACAGTCGCTCACACAGCCACATAACAGAGGGAGAGGGAACAAAGAGGACTTTGAGTCCAGGGAGATGAGCCCTCACAGTGTGTGTGTGTGTGTGTGTGTGTGTGTGTGTGTGTGTGTGTGTGTGTGTGTGTGTGTCTGCATGTCCACCATGAGAGGACACAAACACTGAAACAAAGGGACAGCTTGTCTTTCTGCCACAGTTGCGCACAATTTTCCTCAAACGATTCAGAAGTAGCAGAAACTGTAAAGGACTGCACAGAGAGTCGGCTTGCTGGGAGACGCACTGCTGCTTCATCTGATCTACTCAAACTCAATCACATTCATTAAGTCACATTGTATTTGTAGACGATCTGATGTGTGGGATACAATTTAAAAGGGAATAACACAAAGGAAAGCCATGTTGTGATATAAACAGCAAGCATTGAATGGATAAAATATGGTAATCGGAAGAGAAGCCAAATTATAGAAGAAAACTTTTAGGTAGATCAACGGTCCATCAGAATCAGATTAAGCACGTCTTCCCAAACTTCACTTCATATTCACACAAAAAGAGATCCTTCTGTAAATTAGAGAATCACTTATAGGACATACAAACAAGGAGACCTTAAGTGTTTCATGGCAAACCAGAGAGTTTTTCAAGGGGTATATGTTCATAAGAAGGTACATCTCCAGCCACAAAGGGCCGTTTGGGTGTATTATTACAAATGCTTGCAAGTAAGTTGTAGATTCTTTTAATTTAAATGCAATTATGAATTTAAATAATACAGTTTTTGTATAGTTTTGTATGTTTTGACGCTTCTGGACTGTGCAAGGTTTATGTCTATTATTGTTTATGTCGAGTTTTTGCCATAAAGCAGACTCGAGTGCGCAAGAGTTTAAATATCCAAAAGCCTGAAATTAGTTTTTTTTTTACTATATCCAGTTTAATAGTGTCTTTAAGCCTGCAGTGGACCTCCTATAGACATGTGGATTTGGAAGCTGTGATTTCTAAGAATAAACCCTCAAGACTTACCTGTGACTACATTGGGCCTTAGAACAATGTACATTTGATGAACAGCCACTACAAAACAGTTGTGGTGCTGTATGAACGTCAACGCAGAGACAGACATGAGTTTATTCACACTCAAACAGCAGCTCACCGGAGGCTGGTTGCAGAGGTATCTGCAGAGTTCACCGATATACTGGAAAATAGTCACGTCATGTTTCCTGCAGTCGTTCCAGAACTGGGAGGCAGAGAACTTCTTCTTCAAGATGCAGGTAGCACCTGTGGAAAAACAACAGTCGTCATTATTTACAAAGCATGCTTTTGAACAAAGTTGCACATCATTATCCTCCAATATCTTTTAAGGTCCCCTATCATACTGTTTTTCATCAATATATCACAGGTCTCAGATATATCCAGAACCTGTCTCTGATTGGCTGAAACACCAAACAGATCATTGCAGCATTACCCATAATCCCCTCTGTTTCAGCCCTGTTTCCAAAGTGCTGATTCTCTGTCTGTTACTTTAGATGAAAAATAAGGAGCCCCTCCCCACGCCCCTCTGAGAGAGATTTGGTTACAAAGAACTCAATGGAGCTCTAGAGGAGATTCAGGTGATAAGGGGGGGGGGGGGGGGGGGGTACCTTGGTAGCTGATTGGCTAATGGTTACACAAGACAAAACATCGTTATGACATCATAAAGTGGCCAAAATCTGATCAGCTCATTTTCAGACAGGTTTTTATAGAAATGGATCAAAAAGAGAGAGAATCTTTGTTCCTGAAACTTTCAGAGTCTCTTTACACAGAGGGGACACATGTTGATGTAGAAGAGACATGAAGAAGAGGGGACACATGTTGATGTAGAAGAGACATGAAGAAGAGGGGACACATGTTGATGTAGAAGAGACATGAAGAAGAGGGACACATGTTGATGTAGAAGAGACATGAAGAAGAGGGGACACATGTTGATGTAGAAGGGACATGAAGAAGAGGGGACACATGTTGATGTAGAAGAGACATGAAGAAGAGGGGACACATGTTGATGTAGAAGAGACATGAAGAAGAGGGGACACATGTTGATGTAGAAGAGACATGAAGAAGAGGGGACACATGTTGATGTAGAAGAGACATGAAGAAGAGGGGACACATGTTGATGTAGAAGGGACATGAAGAAGAGGGGACACATGTTGATGTAGAAGAGACATGAAGAAGAGAGGACACATGTTGATGTAGAAGAGACATGAAGAAGAGGGGACACATGTTGATGTAGAAGAGACATGAAGAAGAGGGGACACATGTTGATGTAGAAGAGACATGAAGAAGAGGGGACACATGTTGATGTAGAAGAGACATGAAGAAGAGGGACACATGTTGATGTAGAAGAGACATGAAGAAGAGGGGACACATGTTGATGTAGAAGAGACATGAAGAAGAGGGGACACATGTTGATGTAGAAGAACATGAAGAAGAGGGGACACATGTTGATGTAGAAGAGACATGAAGAAGAGGGGACACATGTTGATGTAGAGGAGACATGAAGAAGAGGGGACACATGTTGATGTAGAAGAACATGAAGAAGAGGGGACACATGTTGATGTAGAGGAGACATGAAGAAGAGGGGACACATGTTGATGTAGAGGAGACATGAAGAAGAGGGGACACATGTTGATGTAGAAGAGACATGAAGAAGAGGGGACACATGTTGATGTAGAAGAGACGTGAAGAAGAGGGGACACATGTTGATGTAGAAGAGACATGAAGAAGAGGGGACACATGTTGATGTAGAAGAACATGAAGAAGAGGGGACACATGTTGATGTAGAAGAACATGAAGAAGAGGGGACACATGTTGATGTAGAAGAGACATGAAGAAGAGGGGACACATGTTGATGTAGAAGAGACATGAAGAAGAGGGGACACATGTTGATGTAGAAGAACATGAAGAAGAGGGGACACATGTTGATGTAGAAGAACATGAAGAAGAGGGGGACACATGTTGATGAAGAAGAGACATGAAGAAGAGGGGACACATGTTGATGTAGAAGAGACATGAAGAAGAGGGGACACATGTTGATGTAGAAGAGACATGAAGAAGAGGGGACACATGTTGATGTAGAAGGGACATGAAGAAGAGGGGACACATGTTGATGTAGAAGAGACATGAAGAAGAGAGGACACATGTTGATGTAGAAGAGACATGAAGAAGAGGGGACCACATGTTGATGTAGAAGAGACATGAAGAAGAGGGGACACATGTTGATGTAGAAGAGACATGAAGAAGAGGGGACACATGTTGATGTAGAAGAGACATGAAGAAGAGGGGACACATGTTGATGTAGAAGAGACATGAAGAAGAGGGGACACATGTTGATGTAGAAGAGACATGAAGAAGAGGGGACACATGTTGATGTAGAAGAACATGAAGAAGAGGGGACACATGTTGATGTAGAAGAGACATGAAGAAGAGGGGACACATGTTGATGTAGAAGAGACATGAAGAAGAGGGGACACATGTTGATGTAGAAGAGACGTGAAGAAGAGGGGACACATGTTGATGTAGAAGAGACATGAAGAAGAGGGGAACACATGTTGATGTAGAAGAACATGAAGAAGAGGGGACACATGTTGATGTAGAAGAACATGAAGAAGAGGGGACACATGTTGATGTAGAAGAGACATGAGAAGAGGGGGACACATGTTGATGTAGAAGAACATGAAGAAGAGGGGACACATGTTGATGTAGAAGAGACATGAAGAAGAGGGGACACATGTTGATGTAGAAGAACATGGAGAAGAGGGGACACATGTTGATGTAGAAGAGACATGAAGAAGAGGGGACACATGTTGATGTAGAAGAGACATGAAGAAGAGGGGACACATGTTGATGTAGAAGAGACGTGAAGAAGAGGGGACACATGTTGATGTAGAAGAGACATGGAGAAGAGGGGACACATGTTGATGTAGAAGAGACATGAAGAAGAGGGGACACATGTTGATGTAGAAGAACATGAAGAAGAGGGGACACATGTTGATGTAGAAGAGACATGAAGAAGAGGGGACACATGTTGATCTAGAGGAGACATGAAGAAGAGGGGACACATGTTGATGTAGAAGAGACATGAAGAAGAGGGGACACATGTTGATGTAGAAGAGACATGAAGAAGAGGGGACACATGTTGATGTAGAAGAGATGTGAAGAAGAGGGGACACATGTTGATGTAGAAGAGATGTGAAGAAGAGGGGACACATGTTGATGTAGAGGAGACATGAAGAAGAGGGGACACATGTTGATGTAGAAGAGACATGGAGAAGAGGGGACACATGTTGATGTAGAAGAACATGAAGAAGAGGGGACACATGTTGATGTAGAAGAGACATGAAGAAGAGGGGACACATGTTGATGTAGAAGAGACATGAAGAAGAGGGGACACATGTGGATGTAGAAGAGACGTGAAGAAGAGGGGACACATGTTGATGTAGAAGAGACATGGAGAAGAGGGGACACATGTTGATGTAGAAGAACATGAAGAAGAGGGGACACATGTTGATGTAGAAGAGACATGAAGAAGAGGGGACACATGTTGATGTAGAAGAGACATGAAGAAGAGGGGACACATGTTGATGTAGAAGAGACATGAAGAAGACGGGACACATGTTGATGTAGAAGAGACATGAAGAAGAGGGGACACATGTTGATGTAGAAGAGACATGAAGAAGAGGGGACACATGTTGATGTAGAAGAGACATGAAGAAGACGGGACACATGTTGATGTAGAAGAGACATGAAGAAGAGGGGACACATGTTGATGTAGAAGAGACATGAAGAAGAGGGGACACATGTTGATGTAGAAGAGACATGAAGAAGACGGGACACATGTTGATGTAGAAGAGACATGAAGAAGAGGGGACACATGTTGATGTAGAAGAGACATGAAGAAGAGGGGACACATGTTGATGTAGAAGACACATGAAGAAGAGGGGACACATGTTGATGTAGAAGAGACACGGAGAAGAGGGGACACATGTTGATGTAGAAGACACATGAAGAAGAGGGGACACATGTTGATGTAGAAGAGACATGAAGAAGAGGGGACACATGTTGATGTAGAAGAGACACGAAGAAGAGGGGACACATGTTGATGTAGAAGAGACATGAAGAAGAGGGGACACATGTTGATGTAGAAGAGACATGGAGAAGAGGGGACACATGTTGATGTAGAAGAGACATGGAGAAGAGGGGACACATGTTGATGTAGAAGAGACATGAAGAAGAGGGGACACATGTTGATGTAGAAGAGACATGGAGAAGAGGGGACACATGTTGATGTAGAAGAGACATGAAGAAGAGGGGACACATGTTGATGTAGAAGAGACATGGAGAAGAGGGGACACATGTTGATGTAGAAGAGACACGAAGAAGAGGGGACACATGTTGATGTAGAAGAGACGTGAAGAAGAGGGGGACACATGTTGATGTAGAAGAGACACGAAGAAGAGGGGACACATGTTGATGTAGAAGAGACATGAAGAAGAGGGGACACATGTTGATGTAGAAGAGACACAAAGAAGAGGGGACACATGTTGATGTAGAGGAGACATGAAGAAGAGGGGACACATGTTGATGTAGAAGAGACACAAAGAAGAGGGGACACATGTTGATGTAGAAGAGACACAAAGAAGAGGGGACACATGTTGATGTAGAGGAGACATGAAGAAGAGGGGACACATGTTGATGTAGAAGAGACACAAAGAAGAGGGGACACATGTTGATGTAGAAGAGACACAAAGAAGAGGGGACACATGTTGATGTAGAAGAGACATGGAGAAGTGGATTTTGCATAATAGGTGACCTTTAAATACATCATCTGATATGAGCTGTTATTTCTTTATTTGGTCTCAAACCTGATCTGGAGCCGAGTGACTTCATCTCTACATGAATGATCAAAGTTCAAGCACCATGTTGACACACTTCATGTTTACCTTTTGACATACAACAACACCACGCTGTTATCTTGATTCTGATTGGCCAGAAGACATTATCAAAGATGTTCTACTGAGAAGACGATCACTACGTGACAAAAGTTTTCAAAACCGTTTCTAGTCTTCGGTATTTCCAGACGAGTGGCTAAATCAATCTGACTAACTGCTGTCTGTGCAATTTACTCCGCGCGAGTTGGCGGACTTTATTTTGCTTCCTTTAACATCATTTTTCATGGTGGGGCTAAGCCATTTCTTGGCTCTAGCCTACCCCAGCCATACCCTGGCGCCGCCACTGTGTACTGCTATGTTTGTAATTTTATTTTTCTTAATGTTTTACGTGAGGGACTGCGGATGGAAAGTACCTGAAAGCTAAATCCGGCATATTTACACTTGGCATATTTCATGTTTTAAAGGTTTTAGAGGACATTTTTTAATGTATTTATTGTCAAAGCACTTCAGATATTCATTGCTATCGGGATGTTAAGAGCATTCCATGGAATATAACAAAAAGTGTATCTCGAGCCGGTTTTTACCTACCCCCACCTTTAAGTGTTCATTAATGTGCAATGTCCCTACCAAATAAATAAATATCCTATCTGCAGAACCACAGGAGTGTCGGACCTGCAGATTGGCTCCTGGCTTGTAGGAGGAAACCTCTCTCTGGCAGGTTTAATAAAGTGCATTTCAACATCTGCAGTAACAGGACACTGGCCTCACCAAGGTTTGTTAGAACAGACTGGAGCGATGGTTATCTCCACCAGTGAGGGGCGATGAACTGTCAACTTTAGTAGCACTTGGAACACAAGCCAAGGATTTGTCAATACAATGGCCAACTAAGAATTTGTTGCTTTTCCAAAACAATTTTATAACTGTGACATTATTTTATACTTATTCTAGATCAGTGTGATACTACTGTGATGTTGCCCTAGCCCAAATATGAAAGCTCATACAGTGGTCCATTGTATAAAAGATGGAAAACAGCAACAATAATATTTTACATAACAGTGTCCAGTGTCTTGCTATAAAGCCTCCAATGAAGCGGCTAGTTGGAGAGAAACAGTGATGGTCCAAGAGGTCACGCTGATGAGAGGACACTGTGCTTTTGATAGGAGGTTATATAACTCATCAATTAAAAATGATATCAAAGCTTAAGTTTCTATTAGTATCAGAGCTATTATTAAGGGTCTCGCTGATGTGTCATCTTGCTTTAAATTGCAGTACTTAGTTACTTCTCCATGTGTAGATTTCATTCGACCATGTAAAGAATACAACCGATTCAACAGCGATGAAAAAGGATGATTATTAAAAGGTGTCCTATCATGGAAAATGCACTTTTTGATGTCTTTTATACATAACTCTGTGTCCCCGGTGTGTCAGAAAATAAAACCCTCTCTCTTTTCCTCCGTACCCAAATCTCTAAAAACGGGGCTACAACGGAGCTGATCCAGATTTGCGTCCGATATGACGTAATATCGGAGATGTGGACGCACGGCCCAATCAGAAACGTTGCTATCAGAAACAATGCCCTTAATATATGCCTAAAAATAGCATGATAGGAAACCTTTAATACAGGGGTGTCAAACTCAATTTCATCACGGGCCACGTAGGGATTATGGTTGCACTCAAAGGGCTGGTTGTAACTTTAAGACTATATCAAAATACATATATAAATATTTTATATAAAATAATGCATTATATTACATGATTGCCTCTGCAGTGGATTATTATCTAATAGGGTAATAACTTAATAATTAACAACGTCTGAAAGCAGAAGTCTAAGGCAAGTAATTGCAAGTCTCTTCAGTGAGAATGTCACAAAATGATTTAAACAGAAAAGCCAAATTCTGGAGAAAAAAAAGTGACAAAAAAAGGGGAAGATTCTAAGAAAAAAGGCATATTTTGAAGAAAAAAAGTCAAATTCTGAGAAAAAAGTCAAATTTGAGATGCATTGTGGGACATGTAGTTTATGGGCAACGTGCTTCTGTACATCGCCATGTAACCGTATAATAAACATATTATATTATTTCAGAGCTCTTGTGGGGCCACAGAAAATGAAGTGGCGGGCCGGATTTGGCCCCCGGGCCTTGAGTTTGACACCCCTGCTTTAACACATATGTAGAGGCCTACCCAGCTCTATGGTTCCTCCGATCCCTATGAGGGAGGCTGCGCTGTGGTAGAGCGGCAGAGGGATGTACATCACGTCATCTTCAGTCGCTCCAAACGCCCAAAACCCTGCTGCTGCCTTCAGGCTCTGCAGGTGAGTGATCACTGCAGCCTTAGGGAGCCCTGGGAACAAGACAAGAAGCTGTATTACATGATGTGAACAAGACAAGAAGCTGTATTACATGATGTGAACAAGACAAGAAGCTGTATTACATGATGTGAACAAGACAAGAAGCTGTATTACATGATGTGAACAAGACAAGAAGCTGTATTACATTATATATTTTTTAATTAGCATACTTTCTCTATGCGTTTCTGCCATGTTAGCTCCAATGCTAGCATGGGGAGGAGGTACATACACTGGCCATGTCGATGAACATGTAACATGTCATGCTATATAGTCCAAGCTGGAAGTTAGCATCTTAAGGGATCACTTGACAAAAAGCAAAAGGGTTTTTCCATTGGACTTTTGAAAAATAGCAGAAGATAAGGCAGAAACAAGTTTATGATACTCAACAGGTTTTGTTCAGCAGGATACTCTCCACATGTCAACACCACTTTTAGTATTTATTTTAGCGTAATAGCGAGAGGTAAAAAGCAAACGCCAGGCTATAAGCAAACTACAGAGCGGCTGCACGTCACCACCGCTAAGCTAAAGGTGGCTAATGTTCAGTGTGATGACGTTTAGTCGTCTCATTAAGCAGGCTCTGTTTTTAAGACACATAGAAGCTTCAGACATTCACCAGTGGGGTGTTTACTGACATATTTTAAGTGGTAAAACAGCACATGACATTCTTAAACTTGTGTTAACCACAGACCTTACTTATCAGTCGTTTATTTTCTGAGGAACCTTGAGAACCATCCAATATAATTCCAAAGACATTAGGAATGAGACCCCTCTTGCAGTGATGGTTTACCATCATCTCTCCCATAGAGGTGAGAGTAGGCCTGGATAAGGACTGTTGCGTCTTGAATATGAAACTCCTGATCTGTAAGAACTTGAATAGGTATCCGTTGCAAATCTTGAAAATAAATACGAATATCTTTATCGATCTGCAACCTTTCTCTCTTCCCTGTGTTTTCCTCACTGTGTGCTAAAGACCCTCCTCAGGTCACAGTGATATGTGATAAAGAGGGTGAATTAACAAGAACCAAAGCCCTCCTGTTCTGACTGACGGATGACGTCCAGTGGAAACAAGCTTTCACTGTCATTCTGAAAAGCCTCATGCCACTGTAAAATCAAACCCGGGTTTTGGGCAAATAAATGACAGGGATTTCCCAAATTGTGAATGAAACCATATCAAGTTCATGTTTAAGGTCAAGTACTAAATGATAAGTCAGAGAAGGTGAATCAGTGTTAAAACGTATCAGCATTTTAAAGTGACTGCTGTGTTCAAGGGTGTACACAGGGGAGAAGTGTCGGGCCCCCCAGGAGAAACTGGAGATGTACAGCGTCACCATGACAACCATAACAAACACAGGCGGCTATAATGGAGTATAACAGTATGAAGTTAGTTACATGAAGTAATCAGAAATCAGACTTAATGAGTCCAACAGCGGGAACATTTACATCGTTACCACAAATCGCCCCCGATGGAAACCCAACGTGAATGTGTGTGTGAGTGTGTGTTAGTGGCAACGTATGGCAGCCTCTGTATGAATGTGAGTGTCTGTGTCTGTGTGTGTTTGTGTTAGTGGCAACGTATAGCACCCTCTGTATGAATGTGTGAGTGTGTGTGAGTGTGTGTTAGTGGTACCGTATTGCACCCTCTGTATGAGTGAGTGAGTGTGTGGGTGTGTGTGTGTTGCACCCTCTGTATGAGTGTGTGTGTGTGTGTGTGTGTGTGTGTGTGTGTGTGTGTGTGTGTGTGTGTGTGTGTGTGTGTGTGTGTGTGTGTGTGTGTTAGTGGTACCGTATTGCACCCTCTGTATGAATCTGTGAGTGAGTGAGTGAGTGAGTGAGTGTGTGTGTGTGTGTGGTACCGTATTGCACCCTCTGTATGAATCTGTGAGTGAGTGTGTGAGTGTCTGTGTCTGTGTGTGTTTGTGTTAGTGGCAACGTATAGCACCCTCTGTATGAATGTGTGTGTGTGTGTGTGTGTGTGTGTGTTAGTGGCACCGTATTGCACCCTCTGTATGAATCTGTCTGTGAGTGTGTGTTTGTTGGTGGCACCGTATTGCACCCTCTGTGTGTGTGTGTGTGTGTGTGTGTGTGTGTGTGTGTTGGTGGCACTGTATTGCACCCTCTGTATGAATGTGTGTGTAGGAGCCAATTAACTGTGGGTATAAAGGGAGGAACCTATGTGTGTTGGGGAGATGTTCCACCGGAAGGCCCATACAGTTTTTGACCACACACGGAGAGCACACTCACAAGGAGCACACACACACAAGGAGCACACACACACAAGGAGCACACACACACAAGGAGCACACACACACAAGGAGCACACACGGAGAACACGCACACAAACACTGGATTAAAAACAAAGCAAAAGGTATTGTGTGAACCATAAATATGGTGTGGTGAATGAAACAAAGAAACCAGTAAAAAAGGGAAATAAATGGACTATTTCGAACTGGAAACGTTGGTTCTGACTTTTATTCGGCAGCAAACAAGGTGTGCGTCAATTACACCCACCAAGCAGATCCTCAGAGGCTTAAAGCGTTGGCTTAGCCTCTACTGTGTGTGTGTGTGTGTGTGTGTGTGTGTGTGTGTGTGTGTGTGTGTGTGTGTGTGTGTGTGTGTGTTAGTGGTACCGTATTGCACTCTCTGTATGAGTGAGTGTGTGGGTGTGTGTGTGTTGCACCCTCTGTATGAATGTGTGTGTGTGTGTGTGTGTGTGTGTGGTACCATATTGCACCCTCTGTATGAGTGAGTGTGTGTGTGTGTGTGTGTGTGTGTGTGTGTGTGTGTGTGTGTGTGTGTGTGTGTGTGTGCTGTATGAATGTGTGTGTGTGTGTGTGTGTGTGTGTGTGTGTGTGTGTGTGTGTGTGTGTGTGTGTGTGTGTGTGTGTGTGTGTGTGTGTGTTAGTGGCACCGTATTGCACCCTCTGTATGAATGTATGTGAAAGCTGAGGGAGAGAAAACACAGCGATTTAAAATGTGACTTCTTCTTCTTCCTGAGCGGTAAAGGAAACTCACCAGTGGTTCCAGAGGTGAAGATGTAGAGGGTGGGGGCTTTGAGGGAGGTGGTTGCCCGTAGCGATGCTGGCACCGGCTGCTCTGAGGCGGCCTCTACCTTATCCAGAAGCGTGTGAATGTGTGTGTGTTCAGTGTGGCTCTTCATGGCCCAAACCTGGATGTTTTCCTCCTGCAGGCTGCTCAAGATGCCGTTCATACTGTCCACCAAGTCTGGGAGATGGAGAGAACAAAACCTTTTTTATTTTTCATAGATTATTCCACTTCATTTGTATTCAACATGTGCATTTTCACATTCATTTGTATTGTACAATGCCATGTCTTTATATGCTGCTGCAACTCAAACATTTACCAACTTGGGATCAATAAAGTACTTCTTATCTTAAATTGTGCTCACCCTGCATGATTTGGGAAAAAATTACTACTCATGAAACTTCACCATCACATTATTAATAAGAATGTGAGAAGTCCGAAAGACCGAAAGAACGAGATCGCGGATACAAGCGGCCGAGATGGGTTTTCTCCGCAGGGTGTCTGGTGTCTCCCTTAAGGATAAGGTGAGAAGTTCGGTCATCAGGGAGCTACTCGGAGTTGAGCCGCTCCTCCTTCGCGTCGAAAGGAGCCAGTTGAGGTGGTTCGGGCACCTAGTTAGGATGCCACCTGGGCGCCTCCCTAGGGAGGTGTTCCAGGCACGTCCAGCTGGGAAGAGACCAAGGGGTAGACCTAGGACCAGGTGGAGGGATTATATCTCTTCGCTGGCCTGGGAGCGCCTTGGGATCCCCCAGTCAGAGCTGGTTGATGTCGCCAGGGAAAAGAAAGTTTGGGGCTCTCTGCTGGAACTGATACCTCCGAGACCCGACCACGGATAAGCGGGAGAAGATGGATGGATGGATGGATGGATGTGGGAAGTCTCTCTCTCTCCATCAAACCATCATCTCTTGAGTTCGTTTTTTTTTCATACAACTCCACAAAGCTCTTTTCTCACCACAACCTCCTAATGAGTTTGGGTTTCCCTGAGCCTTGCATCGGGACAGTATGCCGATCAGAGATTGATTGATAATGAACGATAGTGGGGAAACTTGACCTGTGGCAGTTCCTGGTCCAGAAGATTGGACGGACAATTCCTCTGCCTTTAAGAGACGGCTCTCCATGTTTCAGAAACACTTGTTACCTTCTGAGCATGGGAGACCCAAAAAAGGACGGATAAAAAAACCGAGGGACGTTTTGGATCAATACAGAATTCTAAATAAAGATGGCTTCCATTGTGATAACAACCGTTAGAACTCGAGACGTCTGTGTTCAACATACTGTAGACACTTCAAAGAGTTTGTGTTGTATTTAATCACTGAAAGCATTTTAAAAACATGTTGCAAACTGCTCCGACTTCAGCGAATGGTCATTTACAATCGGGAACTAATGCTCTATGCTGTAGCGATGTAACCAAAAGTGAAACACAGTTCATGTATCCACTCAGTGTTAGGATCCATTCCAACTTTGAATTGACTCTTCTTTGGCCTCACTTTATTACGTTTCATGAAAAATCAGGAGAGTAGATGTGTAACTTTGAATCCTGTTGACAGACAGACAGTAACTAACCCAACTTAACCTCCTCCTCAGAGGTAATATCGCACCACATCCACTCTTATCAGTGTCTCCGTGTTCCTGCTCTTCCATGAAACCCTCTCCTGTTGGTGGGGTTGTGCTGTGGACAGCGGCCCAGACCAACATCATGCTTGTTAGTTTGAGCCATGATCTGTGGTCCTGTCACATGGCTGCCGCGTGGGGAATCTATTAACTGTAGAAACAGGATTCTTCAATGGACCATGGGAGCAAGCCGAGTATGATTCGAGTATGAGTTTTGAAATCGCGCAATCATTCACTGAAACTCCAGACACTCGAAGTGGATTTAATGTTGGTCTTCTGTGTCCATAGGCAAAAACTAAACTTTCAATAAATAGTAAATACTAAAACTTGGTCAGGATACATCTCCTGCAGCTCAGAGTATGAATAATATTGAGTAGCCATAGATCGTTTGTGGAGGATTGAGAGATGATGTTAGAATGCAGAGTTACTGGATGTTTAGCATGTTAGGATACTCATTGACAGACTGATGGACGGTGCACAAGTTGAGGGAATTTAAAGAAAGATACATTAAAAACGACATATACTGAAAAGTGCACATCCACGGGAGTTTTTTTGTTATTGTCTTAGGACTAAGGCAAGTGGTACTGTCATTAAGTAAAACTTGTACTTTACTTAAGTATTTTTTTCACATTATACTACTTTAAACTTTCACTGCAATACATTTTGTGGGCAAATGTACTTTTCACTCCAATAGGTGTATTTTGACATTTAATTACTTGTTACCACGCAGAGGGTACAAAAAGTAATTCCACACATTTTACAATAGATTATTATAATACCCAGTGGTTCATAAAGTAGATCAAATAAACCCCATCTTTACCAAGTGCAACACTGAAGTGATGAACACAGTAATGCACCGATTACACAATACATGTAAAATATCTGCTGCTAAAAATGGCTATTGTGTATAACGAGTACTTTACTTTTGGTACTTTTACGTAAGTACAATTTTGAATGCAGGACTTGTACCTTTACCTGAGTATTTGTACACTGTAGTATTGCTTAACTTTTGCTTAAGTAAATAATCTGAGTACTTTCTCGACCTCTGGACATAGGGTGTCATGCTGTAATTCCTGAAAGCTCTCTGAGTACTTGTGATATGAGTATATAAATAAAATGCCATTGATTGCTGTGATGTGGAGAAGCATCAGGTGTGAACTTTTGCTTAAGTAAATAATTAAGTACTTTCTAGACCTCTGGATATAGGGTGTCATGCTCTACCTTTAAGCTGTACAATGTATGTTGAGAAGCCTTAGTGCCTGGTGCTGCTCAGGTGAGACCTTTACCTTTACCCGAGTATTTCTTCACTGAATAATCTGAGTACTTTCTCCACCTCCATGCTGTAATTCCTTAAAGTTCCCTGAGTACAATTTCAATGTGTGATATTAGTCTATATAAATAAAATGATGTGGATGTTGAGAGCCTCAGTGCCTGGTGCTGCTCAGGTGTGATGATGAGACTTTTACCTGCACCAACTATCAGAGTTGTGGCTCCACAGCAGTTCACGCAGTGCAGCAGAGACTTTGACTTAATGTTGATGTTCAGGAAAGCCACGGAGCATCCCACCTTGGCCAAACCAAACCAAACGCACAGGAAGTCGGGCTCGTTGCTCATGAGCAAGGCAATGCATTCCCCTTTCCTCAACTTCACGTCCTCCAGGAACACATGTGCCAGTCTGTTGCTTCGCCTCTCGATGTCCCGGTAGGTGTGCACGCTCCCCTCGTAAATGACAAAAGGCTTGTCCGGCACGCGCTGAGCCTGCTGGATGAACCTGTCCAGCACCGTGTGCACGCGGGATCTCAGTTTAAACAGCTCCAGATTCGCCCCGTATCTCATCACCCTGAGCAGAAACATAAGGTCCCTCCAGAAGTATGGGAAGCAGAGTTTCTGCAGCACATGAACCGAGAAAAATCCCGCGATCAGAGCTGAGAGCCATCCCAGAGAGGGCGTCATGTCTGCGGCTGTGGGACGGATAGAGGACCCGGTGGAGATCTGCTGATGGAGCCAGGTTACACCAGAGTTATATACACACACAATGTCAGCGTGATGTAACCCAGGAGGAGTAGTGGTAGTAGTAGTAGAAGGTTAAGCCACACAACAGCTGACTGGATAAAGAGACATGCTGCCTTCAAAATAAAAGAGGATCATGTTGGGTAACAGGGAGAATACGGAAATACATGGGCTGTTATAGGACATATTTGTTGTTATGATGTTAAGAAACAAAATACAAAGAACATTTGGCTGCATAACTAATGTTTTTATTACCCCAAACTGCATTCAGGTCCATTTTAAAGTGAGTAGCTAAACTAGAATTGGAACTAAGTTATAATTAATTAAAACAATAATGGTATTTTATGTTTTTTTGTGCATTATCACTATACTGAATTGAAAAAGTGTAAATCTTGAACACTGTCTTTGTCCGCTTCCTCCAGCATTAAATAGGCCTCTAGTTCAATAACAGGCCCCCAACACCAGTAAAAAACTTCTAGAACCGCCATTGCTGAAATAGCCTACAGCAGGGGTGTCAAACTCAATTTAATCGCGGGCCACATCATTCAGCATTATGGCTGCACTCAAAGGGCCGGTTGTAACTTTAAGACTATGTAAGAATACATATATAAATATATATATAAAATAATGTATTATATGACATTATTGCCTTTGCATTGGATTATTATCAGATAGGGTAATAATTGCATAATTAGCTACGTCTGAAAGCAGAAGTCTGGGGCAAATAATTGCAAGTCTCTTCAGTGAGAATGTCACATGTTAAACACCTGAACTGTTGAAACAACATCCATAACATTCATCTGCTACTTAGTCATTATTGATCTATTTACCCAATATATCATTCCAATAACTTGCATATAGACTCTTGCACTATTTTTCTTTTTGTATTTACTATTTACTTGCACTATATTTTTCTGTTTATCTGTGTTATTGTGTTGCACTGTTGGAGAAGCCTGTGACCTAATATTTTCATCGGCATAACTACACTGTAGCTATGTTCGTATGACAAAATAAAGAACCTTGAAGTGGCATTTTAAAAAAGGAAGTGCATTTTTTTTTTTTAAAGTAACATTTTGAAAAAAAAGTAACATTTTAAAAACAAGTCAAATTCTGAGAAAAAGGCACATTCTAAGAAAAAAGGCATATTTGAAATGCATTGTGGGAAATGTAGTTTATGGGCAAAGTGCTTCTGTAAATCGCCATGTAACCGTATAATAAACATATTATATTCTTTCAGAGCTCTTGTGGGGCCACAGAAAATGAAGTCACGGGCCGGATTTGAGTTTGACACCCCTGGCCTACAGTGTTAAAAAAAGTGTTTGAAAAAAGCGTATTACTGCAGGACAGGAGCGAGGGGTAGGGTCTGTGAGGACATGGATCGTTAGTATGGAAGTAAAACAGCATGAACAATAGAGTAGGATGAATTATTACGAAGACACATCAGGCCACCAGAAGTTCCTTATAGGACTCTATTAAAAAGTGAATAATTTGACCACCCCCCGATCACTTGGGGTCATGAGCATGTTCCCTGTGTGATGGTTTTATAATCCATTGTGATAATAATAGACAAGACACAAAGTAGACTGATTTGAAGCAGTTGCAGAGAGGAAAAAGAGACTTAATTGTTACTTATGTATCTCCTTTAGTCTATGATATGTCACAACAACAACAAATCCCCAATATTAAAATATATGCTATGAAACCCACATCTTGACAAAGGTAGAAATGATCATTAAGTAAATTATAAACGTTTTTTTAACCAGCTTTTCCCCTCTTTTGTAAGCATTTCATAACGTTTTATTTTGAAGAGTAGACTAACTTCCGGTATGGCTGGTTCCTGAAAGTAACTTTCTGGAAGCGTCCTCACGTGACAGTTAGTGGGAGTGTCGCGAGGTGTTTTCCTCTTTTTAAAAGTCTGATAACAGAGAAGCTGTTGTGGCGGTGAATTTGGTAGTAAACAGCAGCTGGGGAATTATTTTGGAGGAAAGGTTACTGTTAATATTTCTGAGATATATATATATATATATATATTTCCACTCATGGTATTTATTATAAAACAAGATATGTAGCCAAAACCTAGCAGTTTTGTGTAGCCCATGATTCTTTCACACACGGTGACGTCACGAGCTACCCACAATGCAACACGCGCCATATATATATAAATACGCCATTTTCCTGGAGGTGCTAATATCCTGGAAGTGCAAATATAAACAGCTAGCTAACGTAGCCAGGCAGAGCGCACTAGGTTTTTTTCTGAATTAACGACCGAAGAAATCGCTGCATGTCTTCGGATTACATCTCTGGACTTGAGGGGTGTGCTCTAGGTCGTTACCAGCGTAAACTAGAGCTGTGTGGGTTGTTACAGACTGCCTGCAGACGTATGGAAAAACGACAGTGGCCTTCGTCGATTTTGGCTGCATCTACGTCTATCTTCTGGAAACACCAGGTGAATACCCCACTTGTCACAATAATATTATCATGCCAATGCATATATGTGGTATTTTAGAGTTGACTAGATATTGATTAAGGCAATAGACTATGATATTCAGTACAGGAAGCTTAGCAACACCTAGACGGTGTACGGCTGCTTGCACCTCGCGTAAAACGGCGGATACCGGAAGTACGGTGTTGCGCTCGGCCCAATACCCGTATGTGTGTGTGAAAGAATGGAAAGGAGCAAGGGGAAGTCTTATTTGACCCCTTAAAGGTCACCTATCATGCTATTTTTAGGCAATAGCATAGGTCTCAGATATATAGAAATATATAAAAAACATGTCTATGAAGTGTTTTGCTCAAAATACCAAACAGATCACCCATTCTAGCCATGTCTCATATCCCTCTATTTCACTTCCGGTTTCAAAAATGCTGCTTTGGGGTATAAAGCTTAAAAAAATGAAAATAAATTGATAAGAAAGAGGAGGGGTCTGAGCTCATGCGGGACCCGGCAGCTACTGTCTAAACTAAATGCTGCCGTGATGAAACTCCATATCATGGATTATCAAGGATTCTCTCTGAAACCACAAGGTTATACCACAAGGACACGTTCGATTCTTGTTTAGAATAGTGTGCCGTCGATGGGTTTCATTCCATTTCAAGGTGCTTTTTGACGCTCCGTGTAAACTTCGCGCACTGCCACTCCAACATCCAATCACAGAGCTTGAGAACTGATCACGGGGTTTGTCAAGCTAAGCACATGGTGTAGTCCCAAACGATAGCTGAGGATTCTGGGTAGTGTAGTGTCTTCTGCCATCCAAAAACTCCGAAAAAATATTCGTTTCTCCGAATCGAAGGGGAAAAATACAAAAGCATTGTACACAATTTAAACCAATCAATGTTGTGTAATTAACAAGGATAATTTGGTGTTTTTGAGTTGATGAGTAGTGCAGATATCACTGTAAAATCAATCGACAGTAAGGAGAATACTTACTTCCGGGTGTAAAATTCTCCGTTATCCAATGGGAATGGACGCTCGTAATACAATAAAGGGGACATGATCATTATCTTTTAAATAACGTTAACTAAAGGGAACAATCTATTTGACACAGCTGAAGCTGCTCTGGCCTTCCTTAAAAACTAACTAATTTAATAAAAATCACAGTTGTATTACACACAATGCACTGTTTTTTGAGAACAAAAATTCGTAACTAATGTCATTTTTACATTCCTACGAAAAATAAAAATGATTATGAATACAAATAAAATAAAAAAAGCCTCCCGTGAGTTACTACAAGCTATAAAGTAGATTTTAAAAACGTTTTATAGAATAAAAGCTCACTGTGGGACGTTGTAGAAATGCGTGTGTGCACCACGACAAAAGAGCCTCATTCACTTTACATTGGGGTTTTTTGCGTGGTGCCGACACACAAATGTAGCAGAATGCGTGACTCCACCACGCAATGCGGTGTTAAGGAGTCGTGGTAGAGTCACGCATTCTGGTGAGATCAGGTTGCATTAGCAGTGGCAACTGCAATCAGTTACAGCTGCCCTAAGTCTGTAGCCAAGTCTAATAACACCAGTGTACACGTTGCTGTGTCAATACAGATAATTATTTGTTAATTATTTGTCTTTACTAGTCATACACCTGGTTTATCGTAGCAAGCAGTGGAAACTCCCCTCAAGAAGCGACAATTGCCAAGGGCGTTGCAACCCTCACTCGCCAATATTTCATCATAAATATAGCACGTTTGTTTATTTTAGCCAACTATGCTCCAAGTAAAATTGAATAGAAATGATAATGTATAATCTTTTTGAAAAATAGAGATCGCACATCAGTCCTGTGTACAGATCAGTTCGATAAAGTCATGCCTAAACAGCGACATTTTACACGATAAATACGGGTTTAAATAGCAGCATTTGCCACGGAAGGCGAGTGGCAGCTACAGTAAACCTTCTCTTACTCTGGCATCTTGTGGCAACTCCCGTTGAGCAGCGGCAGATGCCTCGGCAAGTTGTGGTATCAGTGTTATATGCCGGAAGTACTTGCCACAGATACCACAGAGTAGTGGCATCTGTGGCATATGCCGGAAGTACTTGCCACAGATGCCACGGAGTAGTGGCCTCTGTGGCAGATGCCGGAAGTACTTGTCACTGCCTGCAGATGCCACGAAATGAGCCAGGCCCTACTGCCAAATGCCTGCCTGGCTTTGGTGGCCAATCCCCGGGTCAATCTGTCCCCGTTTTTAAATATGCTTATATTGATTTTGAGTTTTCTCATTGCAGTTAGAGTAAGGGACAAACCAGGGGACTTTACTTCCTCTTGACACCGTCGGTTATTTACACCCAAAAATCTAAATAGGCTATACTTGTTATTGTGCTTCTGTCCAGTGTTCGAATTACCCATTTGCTTTCGGGGGAGCCCTATTTTTCAGTGCACATCCTGCTACTAAATATGTCACACGCACGCTCTGTTGACTGGCGCAGCAGCGCGGATGCGATCAATTGCTATAAAAACACTCTGCTGCTACTAATAATAATTCCTTACATTTATTATAGCGCTTTTTCAATGACTCAAAGCGCTTTACATATACACA